CTGGCTGTGGTTATGCAAAGCTGAGCGGACTGCTTCCCCCTCTGAATGAAGAGGTTGCCCTTTTCACTAAGGGACGTGAAACTGCCCTGAGATGGTCTCCGTCAGTATCACCAAGCATCTCGGAGACAGAACAGACAGGAGCTAGTCATCTGAGTAGAAGTGTGGGGTGGATGGGCACGTGGTTACTAGTGAGTCAGAATAAGACTGTACAGGTAAAGTGATGCTCGGTCACCCGGAAGTCATCTTCCAGGGCACTGCCGAATGGCAGGTGGGCCTGGAAGGCCCTCAGGCAGCCAAAATAGAGGACACCAAGTCTGCACGTGAAAACCCAGGTCTTTCCCTCACAGGGCAGCCTGCGGGTTCGCTGACATCCCTCTTGCTCTGCTCTGGACTCTGTTCTATCCAGCTTGGTTATCTAGTTTTCCAGCTTTTGGCAGAAACAGCACATTAGAAGGAGGTGAGACTGCTGGAGAGACAGGCATGCTGACAGGCAGAGTGACAGCCAGTGGTCTGGCAGGGGTAAGGGGCAAAAGAACTAAGAAGCAGATACATGGACATAGAAGAGCATCTGGCCCTCCCAGCGTGGGGTTGGGGGGGGCAGGGTGAGGCTTCAAGTTGACTGTGGTGCCTAGACGGGGCTGGTGCCCTTTGAGAGTGATTTGCGACATTGGTGGGGCAGGAGCCAGGCTGGAAGTCAAGAGTCATTGCCATGGGGACGACGTGCCCTGTGGTACAGGCTGGAGTGGGAACAAGTGGGTTCAAGAGGGAAAGCGCAGAGTTTAAGATGTTTGAGATGAGTTCATGGTGTTTTACTTAAGAAAGCTAGGGAGTCCATAACGTTATTTTTATGGTAGTAAATAGTAATAGAATTTAGGAAACTACTTAAAATAGAAAATATTTTCTCTTTTAAAGGGAGTAGGCTTCAGTTACCTGGAAATTCTTCTTGTGCTGCTCCCTGCCCCGTAATGATCACAAATAAATAGTAATTGTTAAAACTTACTGAAAACTTATGGACTGGACACTGTTCTTAGAACTTTACAAGTTCAAATTTGTTTAATTCCTACAATAACCCTATGTAGTAGGCACTATTATTTTCCCCATTTTGCAGATGAAGAAATTGAAGCACAGTTAAGTTGTGTTGTTTACTGCATGGAAGCGCTAAGATTGAGCCAGGCAGTCTGGCTCTGGAGATCTCACTGACTTAACCACCGTACACTGGGACTAGTTCTTTTAAAGCAATTGTTCTCAGAATCACTTGGAGGGCTAGTTAAAACACAGATTCTGGGTCCCATATCCAGAGTTTCTGATTCAGTGGGTCTGGGATAATAGGGCCTAGAATTTATGCTTCTGACAAGTTCCTGGTGATGCTGATGCTGCTGGTCTGGGGACCACGTTTTGAGAACCAAAGCCCTTTCACTAAGATTTCACCCATTGCATAGTATGTCAGTGCAGCACATCCTCATTTTACAGAGGAGGGGTTTGAGTCACCGGCCCATGGTCACACAGTTAAGTCATTCATTCTTTCATCCACTGACTCACTCATTTCTCTGCACTCGGCCTTATGCTGGCCTTCCAGCTGAGTGGCTTTCAGCCGTGGCTGCGTTTAAGAATCACACAGAGGAGCTTTTAAAAATCCCAGAGCCCGGGCCACTCTTCCATACCAATTAAATCAGAAACCGAGGGGAAGAGGTGGGATCTGGGCATCAGTATCCCCACAGGGGATTTCAGTGTGCTGCTAAGGTTGGCCCTATCATGTCAAGAAAGCACAGGGGATGCAGAGACCTGTGACATGCCATGTGCCCCAGAAGGACCAGACCATCTCCCTGGGAAGACACACCATTCCGGAGAATGCAGCAGCATGAGCCCCTCATCCTAATGGCCGTGAGTGAAGCACTTGTGAAGCACAGCGAGTGGTAGGTGGGCTTTGGTCCTCTCAGGCAGTGCTTCTCAACGTCTTCACAGAGAAGGTAATAGTGTTTACAGGACCCACTGGGCTCACAAGGCCGGCCAGGGTCACAGGCCTGGGATCTCCAGACCCCCTGTGGGCACCGGTTAGGAGAGAGCTCTGTTCAGCTTTCTAGCACCTCCCCTAACCCCACCCTTTTTCTTCTCGGAGAGGAAGAAAGAGACGATGACTGTTTCCTTTTTTCTGCAGAGCTGACAGCTTCTGACAGATTCAGAAGATCTATCTTTTGGCTCCTTCCCACTGCTCCCAGCTCCCGTTTCAGCCTTACGGGTGTCGCCAGCCTGGTCTGGGCATCCTGTGGTGCTAACTGAAGAGCCCGGCCAGGGCTTCTCTTCATGAGGCGCACTAGCCTTTCACCGGCAGCCCCTGCTCATTGGCCAGACACCCACGATTTCCTCTGCAGGGCCAAGGCTCAGCCACCATGCGCCACCTACCCCACCCTCCTCTGTGCCTGCGCAGTCACTGGCTGTGTGGGGGAGAGGGACGTGTACACAGAGTACAATTGATTCCCTGCATGTCCCCGGTGCATTTATTACAGTGAGGTGGCCACAGTGGGCCTCTGAGCGGTTGTATGGATCTCTGCTCCTGCTGGACTTTACGGGACGGCTGTGTGGCTGATGTTAGGACACAGCGTGCTGTGGGCCCCACGTGTTACACTGGATGTGACATTGGTGGTTGTCTTGGCCTCCGCCGCAGTAATTAGATGGCTGGGGTGAGCCTATGATTTGTGTGTTCTCAAGAACACTGTGCTGTG